TCATCTTTTCATCAAACACATCAACACATTTAAGTTACAATTTATAACTGTGAAATAGTGGTTGTAAATAGAATTATTTATATTGAATTTAAACTTAACTTAAGGTGTGGTTGAATCTCAATTCAATAAGATGTCCAATAAAATTTCCAATAAGATGGCCAAAACTCAATCAATCGATCCCCGCACGGGTGCCAAAATGCGCTACCAAATTCGCTGAAAGGAATTAGTTATTATAATGCTTTTATTTTAGTTTTAATTTTATTTAACATAAAGAAAATGAAATAACTATTGAGTTAACACGATGGCCGTCTCTTAATTAGGTTGGATTACATCAACTGTAAGGCTGGTTAAGGTGAGGAAACGTCCGGTTTGAGGTCTGGTTTACATTAAAATTTTACACTTTAGATCGGATGCAAGTTTTGGTGAGATTCAAAGTTGTTTCAAATGAGATTCATCAGATGTGGTTTCACCGTTCACTTAAAATGTATTCAGATTAAAGTGTTGAGATTCACTGTTCACTTGGCGAGATTCACTGTTCACTAAATGTCACTTGAGATTCATTTTATTTAGCACAAGTTAGAGTTGGAGGTATTTTACCATGTAAGATCATCAATTGAATCACTCTTTAAGTTAATAGATAGGTCTGTAGGTAATTGTAAATAGAAAACTAAGTTGATCACCACTACATCACAATATATTCATTAGTTAAACTCAAATATAATCTGGTCACATCGGAACAGGGCTTCCGCGGGGTCCTAAAACGGCAGCCAAACAAAGGATTTGTCGGCCATTTTATGTACCGTGAGGGAGAAAATCTTCTCCCTCACCAAAATGGTCGACCCACCAACTTTAACCAATGATGGCCTTTCCCTACCTACTTGAGGTAGGGAAAGGTAGAAACAAAAAAACCAGTTTAAAACAAGTTGCCTTTCACAGTTTATTAATTACTATTTGTTAATTAAGTCTCACTAATATAATTGACTATCAAAACGACTTATATGCAAATTCAATAATTCATTATATCAATTTCAAAACAAAAAAGTCTATCTTTGCGATATTCATTTCTTCTGGAACTGTCTTCTATGAGTTTTACATGAGAATAGCTGAAAAGGTGAAAGAGTTTTTTCATAATAAGGGAATTCAACTGACAAAGCTCAGTCGCCACTTGTGCTTATTTAACTTCAAGCCAGTGACTCAAGTCAGTCGATCATCCATCGACTAGCTTCAGTATCTAATTAAAATGCATGAGCAGTCCAATTTTTACTTCAAATGAATTGGATGTCGATAACTCTGGTCAAAGACGTTAGCTTCATTTAAGGTAAAAAATTCGGGTTTCATGTTAATCGCTTCATATAATTTTCCTTTACTTGGTACAATATATCAATTAGATTAGATGCCCATCAGATAAAGAGTACGATTGAAACATTTTATCGATGCTCCGTAAGTTATTACTTATTTTGTATGTAAATGATTCATTGATTGTATTGTTTAATCTAATTTAAAGTAAGTCACCTTCTGAATTGATAATTAAAAATCTAAATCGAAGCACAAATTTACTCATCAAAGGCGTTATTATTTTGTTTACAATTGTCAGCTATAAATATTTTACATTCACAAATCGCTTACACGCAACCTAAGCGCTTAAAACAATCATAAATTGTATATGATATTCATTATCGGTTTGATAGATCTGGTAAGGACAGTAAGGAGAGATTGGTTATTCATGGTAAAAATTTGTTTTATTGTTGGTTCAAATGCATTTATAATTTTGAATCGTTTTCTCGTTTCAAAAGTAACAATTCAAATGAAAACTCGGCTCAACACTGTTCATAGTTTATTGAACATAAGGGCGACAAAAAAATATATTTAATTTTCTTCGTTCATTAAAGGTATTCATTAATGAAGATTACTAAGGGTTACTAAAGATGAGGATTACTAAAGATACCAATCCATTACCAAAATCAGAAGTTTTCTCCCCTTGGAATAACCGCTTAGATCTAAGAAAAAATGAAAGATAATTTTATATAAATTTGTTGTATTAATGATTAAACTTACCAATTGTCCAGAATAAACGAGGATCATCAGGATGTTTTGGTGGGTAACAATTTTCAACATACCCAATATCAAAGCCGATCCTGGCTAGTTCCGATACTATATCCTTGTCTGTATCAAACTCGATAATTATATGAAGATTATATTGACCATCCTTACGTAATGCACAAACCAAGCCTAGTGACTCTGAGCCACTCTGGAAAGCATCAAATGAAGTTTAATCATTATCCGTATTGACACATGAATCACGCAGTGATAATGAAAGGGAGATCAGTACAAGAATATTGTAAACTAATTTTGACCACATTTTACATGGAAATGTTGTAAATTTGTAGCAACTGATAATATGGAACTGAAATAAAATAAAATTTCAAACTACAAACTAAAATAACTTAAATAACGATCGGAAAAATTCATTCATAATGAATAAAATATGCTCCATATTGCCATCATCAGGACTGTCATCGGGATGAATGGCAATTCTAATCAAAGTGAATTCATCCACTGTTATTCCTGTTATGGATATAATCTGAAATGTAAGGCGGAATGTAAGTGTATTGACAAGATGAATAATTAAAAAAATATAAGAAATTTACCTGATCGATAAAATGTCGATGAGCTTGTCTCTCATCAGTGACATTTATATAAATTTCATGTAATGTTCCATTTGGATGTTTAAATTTGATGGTTGCTGAATGGAATGAAAAATATTGAATAGAAGTAAATTGTAAATTTACATGATTATAAAGAGACCTTACCTACTGGAGCACCGGGTGTTCAATTAATCGCATTGCAATAAAACAAAGTAAGCTTGAATGAATTAAACAAAATTTTGAAACAAAATTAAAATTACACTGAAAACACTAAAAACACTAAAAACGGCTAAAATGAACGCCTATATGCTAGAGACATCTACTGACAAGATTCTCAGTTATTTTAGTGTTTCACGATATTCTAAAAACATTTTGATTGAAAGAAAAAATATTGCGAGAGTAAATACCGATATTATTGATAATATTTTTATTGAAAAATATTGAAAAAAATATTAAAAGATAGATAACACGATCTATTCAAGTTAAAATGAGACTTAGAACCATTTCTAGTTCAATTTTTTTAGTTCTATTTTTGGTTGTTTCATGGGTAAATTGTTTTTATACAAACGTAGTACAAAATTCGGAGGGCTTTGAAGGTGATTCAAGCCTCCATGATCCCGAAAAATTCCAGTTCCAGAACCAAAGCCGCGCGAAAATGAACTGACGAGTGTAGACTCTGTTACAAGCCTTGACGACTTGACCAATATTGATCATTTTACCAACGAATAGTGAATCTGATGAATATAAATGAAGGTAAATTGGATTCCGATATGGACGAGGAAGTGTCTGTGACGAAGTTTCAAATTTCCGATCAACCCATATTCACGATGATCCAGTTTATTCATCTGCTGTGGCATCTAAAGCAAATATATATGCTGCAATCATCATCTTTATTCGATTGTTGTAACAATTGAATTGAGAAATATGAAAGAGTTAGAAATCACAAATAAAAGTATAACAGGCTGAAAATTATTGTTAAGTTAGATTATCATAATTTGATCGTACTCTATATATTACTCTAAGCTGTCAAGCTTTTTATTATTCACTTTAAAAAATCTTCTTTCATTTAAGCTAGTGGCAACAAAACTCGTTCAATAATTTGAACTTATTAAAACCAATTTTCATCCGCTTTACTGCAATTCCCTCGATCCCTGGCCTTATGTTTCTAGACACTTTGCAAGTTTTACAAATGGTTCTTTTCATTTCTGGATAATGTCTAATCTTCGTTATCTAATCTTGCGTTCTGTTTTGATCCATCTTAATCTAATCCAATGCAAACCCAGTACAAAAAGGATGGTGATCTTCCATCAGGTGAGATAACGCTTTAATTTGTCTTTATTTGGTTGTTTTAAAGTTTATTTCAAAGAGTAGTATAGGTTTATTTACTCTTTCTCTCAACCGAGTTTATAACCGAGTTTATATTTCCATATATTTACACCTCAAAAGTTTCTCATCATAAATTATATGCTGGCGATAACTTAGGCCTATCTTGTGTACCAGCATCAAGTGCGCTGAAACTTAATTTTGATCTATTTTGTTTGTTTTCATTTGCAAAAACGGTTAACTTTTGTTTTAATTAAGCGTGGGAAAGGGTGACGCGCGCGGTAAAAAATTTGATTAATTTTGTCTTGAAGTGACAATTTTTTTGGTCTAGACCCGGGCTTTGGCCTAGAATGGCCTGGTCCAGAAAAACAGTTTTGGCCGAGTAAATAAGTTTTGGAGTTCAACCGGACTTTTACTAACTAACCTATGGGCAGAAAGTTTGAGACAAATGTTTAAACGCTCGTATCTTTTTCAAAAATCTTTTTAACTTTTCAGTTCAAACGATCAAAAAATAAGCAACTCTTGCTGTTTAATTTGATATATAATGTCCTACTATACATAGAACCATTCGCTTTAAATTTTACGTTTTTGGCACCCTTCTGCGGTGATTGAAGTTGAATTTTTGCAATTAATTTTGATTCTTTAGATTAAATTATTGGCGTAATAGGCATAATATCAGAATGAAAATACAAGATTTCGATAGGTCAAAGAGTGTTTTTTAATGTTAGCAAGTTAAAAAAGTTTTAAATGTTATATAACCTGTAAATAAATGGATCTTAAAATTAGTTGATTTTTTCAAATATTTTTTTTCAATAATGAGAGCAAAAAATCATTCAATTGTCGCAAGAGTTAATTATTGATTTGAAATGATCAGAATGTTCGATGATCTTGAATTTCTCACTTTAGATAAACTGAACCTCCTTCTCAGTCTCCTAAAAGTTTCGGCACTCTAGCTAATCGGATTATCAAGAAAAAAGATTAACACATGATTTGTATATTTGTCTCAAACTTTCTGCCCATAGGTTACTCATTCAAAAGCATTGAATTATGCAAAGTATGATGAAGAGCTACTTTACATTGTTTACATCACTTAATGAAAAACAACTGCAATACTTAATAAACTACATAATTATGTTGAATAAATATACCATTCTGATTTAGATTGTATAAATCCTGATCATTCATCTTTAGTTTTACTCTGATAAGTTAGTCTATGAAATGACTCTTTTAGCAGCAAATGCAAATACAAAAAATCCAACAGAAAATGCCAATACAAATACTATTGTGCTCAAACCGATTGTTAAGGTAAAATTAGTGGATCTAGTTGATAATTCAGATGGTGTATCAGTTGGCTGTGGTTTCGTTCTACTTTTTCCGGCAATCTTCTTGTGATTTATGTAAATTGAGCAAATTGCGTTGTTTTTTGATTCTTCAAATAGTCCAGGTTGATTAACATTAATTGGTTTCAAGTTTGTCAATGAACAACTTGTCAATGAAGAACTGCTATCGGAAATTTGATTGTAATCAATTGTTTCACAGAACTCAAGAGTAAAACAATTAGGATCGGCATTGCATTTGGAAGCACAGTGTTCTAGTAATAAATGGTCAAAGGTTGCAACAATTGATTCTTTCGTATTTTCTTTCAATGCAAGTCCAACTTTATGTTCATAATCAAGTTCAAATTTTTCTGTAAAAAGTAAAAAGATTGAATAACTATTAAATATTCACAAATGAATATTAGATTAAGGTAAATGTTTTTACTTGAATAATGGGAACATCCAGCTTCAGCCGACTTCCAGGTTGTTGCATTTATTCGATGAGCTTTATCTATCTCAATGTGGTTAACATGTAAGAAACAAACAGATTCATTTCTGGAAGGAATTTGGATAAAAATTCATTAGACTCATTCATATATGAATGCACAATAATAAAAGTTAATTAGTGCGGTAAAACTTATATTAACACTTGTTTCATTGTCTAGTGATTTTAAATTAACCATTCATGGTTTGCGTTCAAGCTTATTTTTCATGTATTAATAATAATAAGATGTTGAAAATTTCGTGCTAATCCAAGTTTCGACTTACCGTTGCTTATTGTCTTTGCAATAATCAAATGATTCACAACTGAAATCATTTGCAAGAGCACATCTTTTAGCACAATCAGCTATTGGTACATCAGATATAGTTGAGACAGCATCCAGAACTAGACTTTTTCCAGGATACTCATGGAATAGATTCGTAAATGATTCTTAAATTGAAATTGAGAAACAAAATTAATGCAAGTTAATTAATGAAGTAATCGATTTAGACCTACTTTGATAGATGTTACATCCGTCTGCATGGTTTGTTTTGTCTGCAAGTGTCTCATTCAATGAACTCAGTGTTTCTCCACTCAGAATGCATTCCTTATTCTGATTGATACAATATGAAAGTGTGTTACAATCATCATCATTGAAACAAGCCATGAAACAATCTTGAAGAGTAACTTTCTCAATCTTGAACGGTGCTTCCTTCAACTGTCGATCAATTTTAATTATCGGAAAATCTTCAGCTCTTGCAGGTCCAGTATTGGAATCACTTGTGATTAGTTCCTGGGAAATATCACCGATCTCTTCAGGTCCATTCACAATGAACAAATCTTCAGCTGATATGCCGACCCAGTCTAAACGAAATTCGCCTGCTGAGACTTTATTCCTTATCTTTTGCAACACGTGTGACATTGTCGACAAATAATTTTGATCGACGAACTGAGTAACTGAGTAATCCCCTATTTCTCTAATATAAACTTTGCAGTCTCGTTTGTATTCTTTCTCTGTGTAAGACTTTGTTGATATTGAACAATCATAATTGTCACAATAACTAAAGGTGTCACAGTCAGGATTTGCACTGCACAGTTGTTCACAATCGTCGAGCTTGAATCTTTGCACAATATTTGAAGGATTGGTAAGTGTATAAAGATTCAAACTAGTGTAAGCATCAATTAAAGGTACACGATCATAAAGTTTAACAGTAACATATACATTTGAATAAACTTGCTGTGCATGAATTTCACCGATGCGAGTTATTGGGATGAATGAAGTCAAGTATTCTTCTGTTGATTCCTTAATTGTTTCCATATTGAATTGACTCAGCGAAGGATTTGAAAATAAGAGTTGAAACCAAGTATAGCTTCCAGGTTCTTCATAACAAGCAGAAACATCGAATCGATCTTCATAGTCAATGTAACGATCTTTGTAATTGATTATGGTTACCTCAACCTGAGTTGGAGGATCCCTGAGACCGAAAAAAATTTCACGAGCAGTGCTTTTGGTAAATATAACTTTATCTGGGACATAAGCACTGGCATTCTTTGTATAATAGTAGTCGACAATGGCATCGAATCTATTTGTGAAGAAGTTTTCTGCTCTGTATTCTTTCACTCGAAAAGGTCCTAAAGGTATTTCAGCGATAAAAGTCGTGGGTATACGGTATTCAGGCGGTTTCATTACCAAATAGTACAATAGATTGTAAGAACTAGCTTGATTTAAAGGCCAATCAGTGATAAGTTTAACACCCGAAGAATAATATGATGTATAATGACGGCATCGACCGGTGTGTTCATAAACTAGAAATCGTCCCAAAGGAGGTGGCATTTCAATGGAACGAACCATTTCAGTTTCTTCTTGGATTTCGTATGAAATAACATCACCTCGTTTCATTACGCGACACGTTGATTTGACAGGGTCACGATCAGAGTAGGTGATTATCGCTTCCATGTCCATAGCAAACTCTTCAACTTGACTAAAATCTGGTAATGGAGTAGATGAACGAGCACCTTTACGCACACATCCATAACCCAATGGATATGGAATGGTATCAACTGTCGATATGACCAGCGGTTTGAACGAGTAAAAGTTGTAAACATGTTTTGACTCGGAATCAACTTGCTTTTTAACTATTTTACCTTCAATTGAAATCGCCTCCTGAGTTTCAATCCATTCAGGATAATACAACGAGAACCGATAAGGCAATGAAGTTTTAACATCAAAGTAAAAGTCAATGTAAGGTCCATCAGAATTGGTACAATAAAACCAGTGATTAACAGCACGACCTTCAATCAGCTCAGATCCTATGAAGGAAGCTTTATCACTGATACTGTTGGCATAAATCATTAACCCTGTTGGTCCCAAATGAACCAAATCTTTGAACATTTCTGAACTAGCGACAATATCTTTTGGTTCAAACCAATCTTTGATCAATTCCATTTTCTCATTCTGGGTCAAGTTCCAACTATTGCATGTATCTCCTTGGACATCAATTTTTTCGTCTGTCGAATGATAATAATAACGTTGGTTAATTTTATCTTGGATGGTTGCTTCCAAGTCAATAAAGCCAAATTTATTTTCCAGATGATAATAATCATGGATTAAATTTTTTCGAGTTGGTTTAACAACTTCAACAGAAGCATGATAACCATTTTGTTCATCAATCAAACTGGTAACATCTGGAACTTTCAATTCACCAACTTTACCCTTTTCTGGGCATTTGAAGTCATCACAATGAATTGAGTTGATGAAGAAAAGAAAACAAAGTAAAAAAGAAAAGTTGAGATCGATTTTCATCTTCGAGTCAATTTTTGATGTTTGCAGTTGCTTCAATATTCAATTTATAATGAAATAAACACTTTTCGACTTTTATTTGAACGAAAAGAATGTGGAATCGATTCATGTGCTAAAAAATTGCATGGGAAAAATGTATTTATTAGCTTTCGAAGGGGTGTCATAAGATCATTTAAGTTTTAATCTTATCCATATTCAGGTGGAAATGTGTGAAAATCAGATTATTATAACAATTATTGCTATACTTATTAGCCATGATCATTTTGTTCCGCATTTTGTAAGAAATTTGATTCAACTAATGGATTATAAATTCAATTATTTCACCTTCAAATTCTGTCAATTGATGCTCTCAAATGAATGATACCCTTAATTAGTGATGTCCAACATTCACCAGCTGAAGTTTCGCCAATTTTGTTTCAATTTACTATTCAAAATGGGATGATAATCACTTATTGTTTATTACAATCTTATTCTGCACAAAATCCACCCACCTGTAATAACTTATAAGTTAAACAACTTGTTGTTGTAAAAGAAGTTACAACAAAAAATCAAGATCGAAACAAGAATCAGAAACAACCCAAAGTTCATCATATAGCCATCATCCCTTTGCACATAATTAAATCGGCTACTAATGCATCGGCATCAATAGTGATTGGACGTTGTTTAGTTGAGGATAAGTTGAAATTGATGTAGTGAGTCATTTCATCACAATTTTAATTCACTATTCAACCAATTTATATGCTTACGAAAAGATTAAATCTGATTAAAAGATTAAAGCTTAAATCTACTTTACATGAAAGTATCAGCGCTAAGACTTGACACGATTTACGGCAGTTGAATCTGATTTAACTTGAATTAAGCTACTTTAGACTGGCATAAAATTTCTAATGCATTCAGACCATATTTAGCTAATCAGATTCGATTATATGCATCAGAAAATCCACTCATCTAGTTGAGACTTTGAAGATGAAAAAGTGAGCTGATGGGCTCTCGCTTACCTTTACACAATGCAGAAAATTGAAGGCAAAAGTCGCTCTTATTCAGGCAATGGAATTAAACAAAAATGAATCTTATTAAAGTGAAAAAGATTAAGATTTTTAAATTTCTTATTCCGACGACAGTTCTTCATCAACAATTGAGGTCCGTAAAGACCGAACTAACGGTATTGTACTCAATGAAAAAATATTTTTGATCATTTATGATCATAACAGTAACGTCTTTAAGTAAAGAAATTTATTGCGCCTAAATGATGGAGAACATGAAGGTTTGAGACAAAATTGTTATCAATTGTCAAATAATTCTCATAATGGGCTATCAATGAGATTTTTGGTTTTAATTTCAAACTCTTTTGTTTTCGTTTGCAACAAAAATAACATTTAATCGGAATAAACTTGAAAGCTTTTATCGGTGCAATGTATTAGATGTTGATGAGTAACAATTGAATCTCATAGGTCGAATCAGATTACTCATCAACTAATGCAAGAAATGACTCAAATAAATCCTGCTTGATTTAATGTTAACGTTATTTGGATAATAAAACAATCAGACTTTCAATCGTTTTCACTGCTCGATGAAATAAAAATAGATTCAAATTAATAATTAAGTAATTAAAAGTAAAAAAGTTTCGAGTGACAATAAAATTATTGTAATCAAATTTTTTCAAGTGTGATGAGATTTTGATTTTTTTACCCTTCTCTGGGAGTTAGTTTGGCCAAAAGGCAACCTAATTTCATGATAATTGATAATGCGAAAAAAACGTCAGTTATGACTGGCAAAACAGTGAGTTGCGATAGTTAGACTGGACTTATCGTCAAATCGTTAAATAAAGGTACAACTTCCAAAATATTAATATGTCGGATAAAAATAAATCAATTTTGATAAAAATTCCTGAAGTTATGACCTTTAATAATCAAGAGTGTCGAATCTGATTACTTCTTTCGCTTAGTCAGAAATTTCATGTTATGGCATTTCTTGAATTCAATCAGTTCTTAATTCAGCCACCATCATCTTAAATCGACAGATATATCGATTTATCGATAGATTTGAATGATCGAAAAAGCGAAGTAAAGATCAGATTTTAACCCACACTTGATCAGTATCCAGGGTCAAACACAGCATGATCAGAGTTGGTGAATGAACATCTTAATATTTGATTAATTTATTGGGGTGGTGAAATCAAAAATTGATTTCAAGATTAGTTTGATCAGCTGTGATCTGAGATATTTAATTTCAATCGGTGTAACAAAAAAGTTAAGATTAACAAGTTTAATCTTCGAATTAAATGCAAACTTGGGTTAATTGCTTTCTTGGATGGTAAAACCTGAAGACACTTGAACTATTATAATTCATTATAACAATTTTAATCCAAAAAAATCTAGTTATCTTTGCGATAGTCATTTTTCCTGGAACTGTTTTCTGATAAAAATCAGTGCGGATTAGACCAAATGTTAGAAATTATTGTGAGTCTAGAGTTGAGTGGATATAAAAAGTGATTCAATAGTTAAACATTATTCGGATTAAAAGACAAAATAAAACATGTCGAATCCAATTGCTATGCCAGATGATTCATTACACTCCTATGATGGAGCAAAAATGCCGTTTCTTCAGCCTAAAGTACAACATTCAAATACTAAACCAATTAAGACTGAAGGTAAGCTTATTATTAATATTCCAGGTTGATTAACATTGATTGGTTTCAAGTTTGTCAATGAACAACTTGTCAATGAAGAGCTCCTATCGGTAATTTGATTATAATTCAATTAAATTTCTTTGAAATTCAGACTGTTGGTTTGTATGGACAAAAAATCTGATGCTCTATTCTGAATCTATTGATCCATGAAATTCATGCAAAAGTTTGAACAAATTAGCACAAAGGGCGAAGATAAGTAAAGATTCATTGCTTTCAAATTGAGACTGTTGGTTGCTAAAGGGTCAAAACAACAAAAGCCAAAGTCAAGTTTTTTGTACAGATATGGAAGTAGAATTTTTCAAATAAGTCATTTTGATGGTCAATTATATTAGTGAGACTTAATTAAAAATAAAAATTAACTGTAAAAATTCAATTGAAATTGTACGTTTGAAAATAGCGCGAATGTAAATTGGAATCATCTTTTAAATTGAATGAATAACATTTGAAAATAACATTAACGCCTAAGATTATTGGTTCGATTACTTTTTATCAAATCTTATCGACACAACGAATCATTACTCAGATTGTTAATTGCGACTCTAACCTCATATTTACCAAATGTACTAATATTACAATCAATACATTTTGTTTCATTTTTGTACTTAAACTGTAAAGGATGTAATATGATAATATATGTTTTTTAAGGTTGTTGTGCGATCAAAGTTCCAACTTAGACCTCAATTTTCTCGAAAATTAGTGATCAGATGAAATTAATTATTAGGATTAAATTAAATTAAATTAATTGATTTGTGTCGATTTTTGCATGAAAGTGTTAATTGTGTTAATAAATTGTGTATTTTTAGTAACAACATTTTTTCAAACTTTTGCATGAATTTCATGGATCATTGCTTTCCTCTATGGTAAAGCCTGAAGACACTTGTACTCATTCATTTTATCAATTTTAATTCAGAAAAGTCTAGTTATCTTTGCGATAATCATTTTTCCTGGAACTGCATTGGACTGATTAAAGCCAGTACAATGCAGATTAGATCTAATTTTACAATTTATTGTTGAGAGTTGTAGAGCTGAGCGGTTACAAAAAGTGATCCAATAGTTAAACACTATTCAAGCTTTATTTTTTTGGATTAAAAGACAAAATAAAACATGTCGAATCCCGTTCCTATGCCAGATGATTCATTGCACTCCTATGATGGAGCAAAATTGCCGTCTCTTCAGCCTAAAGTACAACATTCAAATACTAAACCAATCAAGACTGAAGGTAAGCTTTATTGACTTTACTACGAATTTTAATCCAACTCATGAAGACTAATAGCATGTTTAATTATTGTTTACTATCGTTCGAAAAGATGGTTGGATGCCAATGCCAAAAGCATATAATTGCACACCAGGATTGGAATATTTAACTAGAATTGATACATTTTTGGTCAGCAAGAAACATGATCGTGATGAGTCTAAATACACTTATCTAATCAAAAACAATTTGGACCAGAAAGTTTATACTGCAGTTGAAGGTGAGATATTGAGCTAATCATTTCAAGTTCTCATTGTTTTTGTTGATTAATCTCCACTCAGAATACGATGAATGCTGTATGTGTTGTTGCAGCACCACCAGGCCATTCGATATCAGAGTTTTTGATTCTCAGAAACGTGACGTTATCAATTTCTATCGGTAAATTGTTTTTCCTTTTATTTTTAACTTGGAGTTGATTCAAGTCTCTCACCTTTCTGCTTTGCTTTGAATTTACTTGAAGTAAACTTGATAACCAATGAAGACCTGTCTGCACACAAATGCAGTTGAATAATGACTGAATTAAATGCCACTTATTCAATCGTCTTTTCCGTAATAATTCACACAACCAAATATTTCCATGCTCACCTTTCTGTTTTGCTTCGAATTTACAAGAACAAATTTATAAATGAAGACTAGAACTGTCCGAACACGGTTGATTAAATTATTTAATTAAATGCCACTGATTTAATTTTCGTTTCCGTATTCTTTATTCAGACCTTTAGGCTGTCAATCTTGTTGGCTTTTCTGTTGCCTCCAGATCTTGGAAGTTACAGCTTCTGGCACTCTATGTGGTTTTATCGAACAATCATGGAGTCCTTTTTACACTGAATTTAGAATCTGTGATGCTACTGGGAAAACTGTTTTACTGATTAAAGGGCCACCAGAACCTTATGTTTTAAATCAATTCAAAGTATTATCAACTGATGGTAAAACTGAAGTTGGCAATGTTCAGTCATTATTGCCTAATCTGGTCCAAGGACGATTGGCCGATGCTGATCACTTCAGCATTTCATTTTCAATGGATTTAGATGTCAATATTAAAGCTGTATTATTGGCCGCTCTGATCTTAATTGTAAGTATATTCATTGATATTATCTAGTAAAGTATCCGATTAATGATCTGATTTCGTTCTTTCTGTTTAGGACTGCTTGTATAATCGAAGCGAATACAGTGGATCAACATATGATTTGACAACGGCATTGCTGGCAGCTGATGCGATTGTACATTGCTTGCACATGTGTTTCAGGTAGTGATTAATTGATCTGCCTTAAGAAAATAATCGTTAACTATTCAATATCAATATTGATGTTTGACATCTGAAAATTTCAAGATTGGCCAAATGATAATAAATGCTCATTAGTTACATTTGACATGACCTGCTCTCAAATTGGACTAATAATTGAATAAAATTAAACAATTTGTGTTTTGTGACATTTTTGTGTTTCACCTTTGTATATAATTTTAAATCAGCAATTGATTGCTTATTGTTATTGATCGCTGAACTAAAAATTAAAAATAAAAAAATAACTGTTTCTTGAAAGGAAGAAGCATCGCATATCTTGATTTGGCGTTTTCACTATTTCATTTTTATCATTTGATTCAGAATGAGATTACATTGAAACTTTAAGTCCACAGCAAGTTGAAGCAACATAACTTAAATTTTGAGAGCAGTTTTCAATTCAGCCGTCTTTGTCCGAGTTTTGCTTCTAGAGATAGAGAATCAATAGAGACAAAGAGACAAAAATTAGAGAATTAATGAAAGAATAATCAAGACAATGTTTAAAAAAGTTTTCATCGAAAATTCCAGCTCAATGTGTACATTTATGGATGGGATGTTTTCTTGATAGTCTCGATTTATGGACTCTAGGCTCCTTGGGCTGATTTAAAACTAAATTTCACGTTATGGAAAAACTCTTTCACCTTTTCAGCTATTCGCATGTAATCTTGTAAATTTTGAACTTGAATATGAGCTGAAGCTATTATGAGATCACCAGTCAATTGCCAAACATGAAATTCGTGGACAGCCAAAGCACCTTTGATCTTGAAGGAGAAATGATAGAAAGATGAAATAAAAAAATCCAGTAAAATGAGAAATGGCCAAAATTGAGGTCAGAATTAAAGTGATTAGTCTTTGAAAATACCTCTTTAGTCAGGGTTTCCAGTAGATCCTCAACTTCAATGTGTGTAGGTACAGTTTGAAGTAAAATCATTGCTGATTCGCTCAGTAATGGCCAAGTCAACTGGATAAGCTCAGTTGCCATCCGTTCGCATTTACCTTCACGTCAGTGACTTGATCATCCATAGACTAGTTTCAGTATCTAATTAAAGGAATGAGCAGTTCACTTTTTACTTTACCAAATGAACTGAATGCCGACAAACGAATCACTACTCTGGCCAAAGACGATAGCATCAGTTGATGTAAAAAATTTTAAGTTTGATGTTAATTGGTAAGAATCTTTAATTTTAGATTACATGCAAAATTTCACCAAATATTTTTATTGTCAATATTAAATCACTTCATATAATTTTTATTTACTTGGTACAATATATCAATTGTATGCTCGTCAAATAAAAAGTACGATTGAAACATTTTAAGTAAGTTATTGCTATTTTGCACTGTGAATGATTGGTTGATTGTATTTTTTGTGTAGTCCAATTTAACGAAAGCCACCCTTCTGAATTGATAATTAAAAATCTAAATCGAAGCTAAAATTTACTCATCAAAGGCGTTATTATTTTGTTTATAATTGTCAGCTATAAATATTTTACATTCATAAATCGCTTTGACGCAACCTGAGCACTTTAAACAATCATAAATTGTAATATTTTTATTTCAATTCAAAAGCAACAAAATGCTGGTAAAACTTTCTATCATGTTATTAGCAAGCTTCACGATGGCCACAGGTGAGTAACAGCTTAACTTGTCGATCAATGAAAAACCGTAACCCTTTTCCATTTCCAATCACCAACAGCTCAAGTCACAGAGTTGCTGGATCTTCCGTTAACGGTGTCTGATGGAGAGTTGATCATCCAAGCTAATCTATATACATTTACTTTCGTGAGTAAAACATTCAAATTTCATCCAAAAACATTCATTTTTTCCTTTTCATTTTCAGTCTGGAAGTGAAAAATATTTAGTGAAAGAATCGATATCAACTTCTGAATCAAGCATCACGGGTAAAATTGAAGTCTCGAAGGATGGAGATTCATATGATATTCATTATCGGTTTGATAGATCTGGTAAAGACAGTAAGGAAAGATTGGTTATTCATGGTAAGAATTTGTTTTATTGTTGGTTAAAATACATTTATTATTTTGAATCGTTTTCTCGTTTCAAAAGTAACAATTCAAATGAAAACTCGGCTCAACACTGTTCATAGTTTATTGAACATAACGGTGACAAAAAAATATATTTAATTTTCTTTGTTCTTTAAAGGTAATGATTGCACATTATACAATCATAGTAGGCTCACTAAAGATGCCAATCTATTTGGAACTAATAAACCTCTCAGAGATTTAATATTCCTGATGGGACCTTCAATTATATACCGACTTGCTGGACAAGCAACTGTTTGGGTGAGTTGATGGAAAATTGTAAAATGAAATGAAATTTAACATTCAACTTTACTTTGAAAATAGAGTTCAGCTAGTTATTATGAAAACATAGGGATTCGTGAGAAAGGTGTAACAACTACACTGCATAGAACATTGAAAATAAATGCTTATTTTAAGGGTGAGTCCAAATGTTTAATGTATTCAAAATATCACCATTTTCTTATCCTCATTAATGAATTAGATAAATATGACATTGAATCTGGAGTTCACAACCCAACTCGAATTGAATTCAGTGGCTATGAGCCATTTTCAAAGCCACCTGGAGAGAAGGTATTTTTAGATATCATCTTGCAACAGTTCAACCCGACAAGTCAACTTGGAGATTTAAAGTATAAAGTTCAAGTAAGCAATTCAAGATTTTATTGTTGACATTTGACTTTTAGTCCATTAAATGGATAAAACATATAAGCTTAAATTCAAAATACTCGTTGCAACAAGAAGGAAAGATGAAAATGTTTTCAAGTTTTCTACTCTCGAGTACTTCATTCGTATCCAATTCAAATATCCATTGAGTTTTCGTTGATTTTACATAAAAAATCATCTCGATTGCTCTAAACCTTTCTTTTTCACTAAATTTTGAAAAGTTATATTGATTGAGTTTTGTTATTACTCCACCTGACTTAATTCTTGATTAGCCTTCGCCTGGAATCGGTTGTCCACGTTACTTAGCTGAAAGAAAATCAATACCCGGATTGCTGCCTAAATATGTACACTTCATCATGTACGAGAACATCCAAGGTTCAACCAAAATTCAAACATTCAGTGAGGTTAGTTTGTAACAGTTTCAATGGCTTTCTGTTTCTCATCAAATACAATTAACCTTTCAGATTACGGCATCTGAAAAGAACTTTTTGATGAGACTTAAAACAACCTTACTCGGTGTGAAAACAGAAGTCATTTTCGATAATGGACTTGGAATAGTTGTTACTCTTAAAGAAGGTGAATTTTGTCGCATAACATTTGGAGACAGAAACGCGCCTGGACACAGTGTTTATGGCTTCAAACTAGAAAACATTTTCTTTGTCCATGAAGACTATAGATACATGTATATTGGAAAAACCAACCTTGCAAGTATTATAATGGCTCTAATGTTAATAGATGCTGAAATTTTTAATGCCTAAAGTTTCTATTGTTATCATTTCGAAATCAGAAGATTACTAATTCTCATAAGCATGGTTTTTTATTGAATTTCTGTAGGAAGATCGATTTGGGCTGCATGTTGATGCATGGGAATCTGTTCAATTCAATGTTCATTTCGAGGGAAATAAAGTGGATAAATTAGTCGTTACTCAATATTTCATTGAATCGGTAAGTTTGATATAACTTGAATTGCCTAACAATTGCATTGAATCGAACAATATTAGGAAGATCCCTTCATATTCATTTTGTGTATTTTCATTTAAATTTTTAATGTTCATTTCTCTTTTCTCTATTCATCGCTTGGGATTAAAAATTATGAAAAATTTGATATTTAACCTTTAAAGCCAGAGAATGCGATATTTTATAGTCATTTGCTTGTTCGAACAATGATTTCCATCTATGACTCATATTCATCGGTATGTATTCATTTTCAACCTTATTATTATATTTTGGTGAACATCAAAATCATTTCCATTCTTGTCTTCATTAGAAAAAAAGTTACGTTTTGGTTAAAAGGATCACAAGAGACTACATGAACTTCCAAACGGTTGAAACTGAATACGAGTTATATGATTATTTCACACTCAAAGATTGTAAATACTTAATAAGTGGCAGAAAAGTAACACTTAACTTTGAATTAGTATGTGAAGGTAAGTATGTATTGCTACTGATGTTGATTTTATATAACCTGTGGGGAAAAAGTTTGAGAATTTTTTATCTTTTTCTTATTTCTCGTAAGATAGTGCTTTAATTTTTCTGAAAATTCAACATGTTATAGTTGGATAGTGTAGCTTTGATATCTGAGAAATCCAGAATGAAAAAACAAGTCACTTCACAATCATCGCTCAAACTCGGAGGAGAAAATATTTTTGAAAATTTCTTCTTGATGCATGTTAAACTCTCATAGACAGAAACAAATTTTTGAGACTAACAAACTAACTTGTGAGTGAATTCACAACCTAAAGTTTTTATTCTGATGCATAATACAAAGTTGAAAATGTAATGAATATTTTTTCCTTTCCAGATCCTAATGATAAAGATTGCATAAAAGTAGCTGACAAACAATTTAACCAGTTTAGGGAAAAATTTAAAAACCAGATAATTCTATATGAACCCGTTTCTCCACTGAGGATCGAGGATATTCAATATCGCTCTTCTGACTCCAAAATTGAATTTGATGTCACATTTCTTGATAAACCCAATCTCGATGGTAAACTCGTTTTTCATTATTATTCATTCCTCTCATCAGCATAATCATTAACAGTGTTGTGTACTAATATTATTATTACTTACAGAAATTGTGAAGCCCACCACAATGCTTGTAAGTAGCGAAACATTCAAATATGCAAAAATTTTCACCACAAAAAATGAACGTGATTGCTTGGACAAATTAGGACAATTTCATGCTTCATTTGTGTAAGTTAACCACAAGTCTGTATCACTACATGTGCTAATCCAAATGATAATTTTATCCTTTTTTTGGTTATTAGTGTTGGCATTTACAGACCTTCAGATTCCTTGTGTGCATATTTACTGAAATTGGATCTTCTCCAAGAAGATACAGAATCTGGACTATCTTGTAACGTCTACAACTTTCCATTAAGAAATTTTCGCCGCATCAAGCACGAATTACCATTAGATGAGCTACAAAATGCCTTTTTAAAAGACTTGAACAGAAAATTTGAGTTTTGGGATTCTGAATCATATACTTGTAAGCATTTCTGTTCTGTAAATTTTAAACTTTTAAATCTTTTCATGAATTTCTTTTTCGACTTTCAGCTCATTCTTATAAAATTGTAAATATAGTTGATGTGACGCAAAAGGGTCCTGATTCTCTGGTCATTCCTTATTATTATGAATTTAAAGAAAATTCGAAGATAAGAAATGATGACAAAAACACTCTGGTTGTACCTGGAATCGCACAATTTAGTGACTGCCTCAGAGTCTGTCGAAATTCAGAGCAACTTGACTGTAATTATTTTTCTTTCTGTCTTGATTCGGATTCCGTAGACTGTAGAGTGAGCAGTTTAACAGATAGTAATTTTACAAATACATCGCCATACGAAGAGCATGACACAAAATGTGAAATCTTTGCCATGAATCCTTTGAGATTTTACTCAAAAGCTCCTAACCGAAAGTTCAAAAACCAGATATCAACTTCAATCGAAACAAGTTTAACTTCTTGTGCACAAATGTGTTTGCATTCGAAAGATTGTTTATCATTCGAATACTGTGGATATGATTGTAGTTTCAATAGCTTATACACCGATTCAAGTACTGAATATAATGAAAATTGTTTTATATATTATCGTAAGTATTCTTAAATATGATTCGATTTCAGATGAAAAAGAATTTCATGGATTCTTCTTTTTCAAACATTAGCTAAAGTGCCTCATGAGTACAGAAATACTGGAAATAAAATTGTAAACGAAGTGCTTTATACCGAGATGAACTTGAATCTAGACCAATGTGCTTCTTTGTGTCATGGATGGTCTGATGGTGACACTGAATGTAAATCTTTCAATTATTGCCCTAAAAGTAAATCAAAAAGTGTATGTTCATTGACTAAATATTCAGTTGGAAGTGGTGGTACAAATGGCACTGAAGGAGGGCACTGTTCAAATTACGAATTGATAAATCAGTCGAATGGCAAACACAATGAACAATCAAGTGAAACTGAAGTAATCAAAATAAGTGGATCAGGTGCTTTCGGCATAATCGTCATGTTACTGTTTGTTGGTTCTTTATTAGGATTCTCATCTCCAATCGTATACCAAAAAATCAAACGGAAATTTGATGTTACACAGATGAGTGAGAGCTTTGCTTGGGAAAGACAAGTCGATCAGACATTTCAAGCTACTAATTGAAATATTTGGAAACATTTTCATAAATGCTGAAATGGTCACCAAAACAACTGTCTTCTCCATCAAAAAATGACATTTTTTCGATGTGACTTTTTTCCTTAAAAAGTTACGCTTTTATGGCCTACAAAGTTTCAATGATCGAAAAAAGTTCGAAAGAAAAGACGAAAATTTAGAGATATTTGAAGTATGGCCAAAAACTCGGCATCTTCGCTCAATAAATGAGCTGTACTGTGTTGAATCAAGTATTGTATTAAATAAAATGATTAAAAAACATATGATTAAATGTCTTCTTGATTTGTTTCCAAAAGTAAATCATCTTTTTATGCTGAGGTTCCACCAAGGTCGACAAGTGAAATTACCTTCACCTGGTGTTTTGTATTTTCACTAAGTTTAGATTTGTCCTTTTTCCCCTTTGATTCAGAATTAGATTTCATTGAATCCTTGAGTCCATGTTGAAGCAACACAACTTAAATTTCGAGAGCAGTTTAAAATACAGCCGTCTTTGAAGTTTGAGTTCTGTTCAAGAAAGAAAAAATAGAGAATTAATAAAAGAATAATAACGACAATGAAATCTGTCAATGGCAATCAAGAAGACAGCATTGACCAAAACTTCTGCTCGAGCCCAGCCAAAAGTGTTTTTGACCCACTCTTTGGGTGACATTAACACTGAGACATAGGCAATAATCAAAGCAAAGCTTGAAGTCGAGCTTTGATGGTAAGCTTTGAAAGGAAATGTCCTTAGAGTCGAAAGAATCAACAAGAGAAATTGCTGAATATTTGAACTTATTACATTGAAATTTCCAGTGACAAGTTGACCATGTTTCACTTGAAAGAACTTTGAATAAATAGAAAAGCAAATAATCAAGATCACCTTTCTACAGGTAGATACATAATTTGTTCAAACTTTTGCATGAATTTCACGGGAATAGAACTTCATAAGCAGGTTTTATATTGGATTAGATTGAGGCCTTTTAGTTTTGATGAATAAAATTTTCAATACATTAGGTGTTAGGGCAAAAAAGGGTCAGAGTTGAGTTAATTTTTGCGTGTCACTATCTCGAGCATATTCAGTTTCTAGAGACAAGAACAAAGTAATAGAGAAAACTGGACAAAAACAGTTCGATTATAATGGGGCTTTAATTTATTATATTTTTAAAAGGTGACTATGAAAAAAATCTCCACTTTTGTTAACTTAACCTTAGCCCCTACTATATTTGTTATCATATTTTTCATATTTATTGATTCGCCCGATTCTCGTCACACGAGTTTATTGCTTTCTTCTATGGTAAAGCCTGGAGACACTTGTACTCATTCATTTATCAATTTTAATCCAAATAAGTCTAGTTATCTTTGCGATAATCATTTTTCCTGGAACTGTTTTCTGATTAAAGTCAGTGTAATGAAGATTGGAGCAAACGTTAATGTATTGTGAGTCTAGTGTTGAGTGGTTGTGAAAAGTGATACAATAATTATTCATTTCAGCCTCAATTTTTCTGACTAGAAGACGAATAACATGTCGAATCCAGTTCTTTTGTCAGATGATTCATCACACTCCTATGATGGAGCAAAATTGCCGTCTCTTCAGCCTAAAGTACAACATTCAAATACTAAACCAATTAAGACTGGAGGTAAGCTTTATTGATTTTACCAAGAATTTTAACCCAACTCATGAAAATTGATGTTTAATGATTTTTTTCCATTTTTTGAAAAGATGATTGGATGCCAATGCCACAAGCATATAAATGCACACCAGGATTGGAATATTTAACTAGAATTGATACATTTTTGGTCAGCAAGAAACATGATCGTGATGAGTCTAAATACACTTATCTAATCAAAAACAATTTGGATCAGAAAGTTTATACTGCAGTTGAAGGTGAGATATTGAGCAAATCATTTCAAGTTCTCATTGTTTTTTGGCAATTGATCTCCATTCAGAATACGATCAAAGCTGTATGTGTTGCTGTAACACTGCCAGGCCATTCGATATCAAAGTTTTCGATTTCCAGCAACGTGAAGTTCTTAATTTCCATCGGTAAATTGTTTTACTTTGATTTTTACTTTGCAAGTAACTAATGGTCCTAACACCCTGAATTTCACCCTTTGTATTCATTCTTCTATGCTAATCTAATCTTGAAAATTTTGTGCTCTTGGCTTTTATGATACCTCCAAAGCTTGGAAGTTACAGCTTCTGGTAATTTATGTGGTTCTATCAAGCAATCAGTGAGTCCTAATTCAAAAGAATTCAGAATCTGTGATGCTACTGGGCAAACAGTTTTACTGATTAAAGGGCCATCAAAACCTTATGTTTTAAATCAATTCAAAGTATTATCAGCTGATGGTAAAACTGAAGTTGGTAATGTTCAGTCATTATTGCCTAATCTGGTACAAGGACGATTGGCCGATGCTGATCACTTTAGTATTTCATTTTCATTGGATTTAGATGTCAATATTAAAGCTGTATTATTGGCCGCTCTGATCTTGGTTGTAAGTATATTCATTGATATTATCTGATAAAGTACGATGTGATTAATGATCTGATCGTTTTTTCTGTTTAGGATGGCTTGTACAATCGAAGCGAATACAGTGGATCAACATATGATTCTAGAAGGGCATTTAAGTCAGGATATGAGATTGGACATTGCTTAGCCATGTGTTTCATCTAGTTATTAATTGATCTGCCTGAAGAAAATAATCTTTAACTATTCAATATCAATATTGATGTTTGACATATGAAAATCTTAAGATTGGCCAAATGATAATAAATGCTCATAAGTTACACGAGCGTTAAGTGAACACGAACTACTATCAAATTGGACTAATAATTGAATACAATTAAACAATTTGTGTTTTGTGAAATTTTTGTGTATCACCTTTGTATTTAATTTTAAATCATCAATTGATTGCTTATTGTTATTGATAAGCATAAATCTTGGCCGACAATCAACTTCAACATAATTCAAGCTATTTTAATCCAAGAAAATTGACTGGATTGGTGCTTTTGAGCCAGTGATATTGAAATGTGATTCTAAGTTTGAATAACAATGAATTATTTCTTCTGTTGACAAACAAAATAAGAGGTTGAAATACACAGATCAGACATGGACAGATTGCTTTCAATCTCATTAATTTTAGTGTATCTTCAAACAATGGATGCATCGATTGGCCTGATTGAGTAAAAGCACGCAACAAAGCTTGTGTCATTTATGTGTAGACACACGGATAACAGGCGCAAGAAGGACACATTCAATCTGCAATCAATCTCTTTGTAACCGAAAAAATCAGGATCAGCTTTTTTGTACCACATTTTCCATCAGCCAAATCCACCAAATTGATTAACACTTTTCGGATATGATGGTGTTGAATAGTGAATGTGTTAAAGGTGTTTGGATTGCAAATAATAATTTTATTAAAATCCAAATATTGCAATCAATCTTTTAAAGGCGAATCATCATGGAAAATCTCAATCTTAATGTCTAATACTATTTAAATGGCTAGTAATTGAATGTAGAAATGGTGCAACCAATGGAACCGTTTATCGGTCAAATTTTGGACTTGGTCTCTTCCAATAGAGCAAATCGACTTGATGGCAAAACTTGAAGATACCACCAAAAACAAAGCATTTTATCGCAGTTATTTGGTATCAAGAACTGAAGAGTTTGTTGATTTACATGGGAAAAATTGAAATGTAATCAAAAATGACAGATGAAAGATGAAATCAATCATAGACCATGAAAAAGAGACTGAATATATTCTTCACGCAAGCAAACTCCAACAGCTTTCCAACACTAATGGTGCAGACTCGTTAATAACTTTATCTTGAAACTTATTAGTAATATTTTATTGTTTCATACATATGTAAATGTGGTGATTAATAAGAAAAGTGTTTCTGAAAATATTCAATCGATTTATAAAGCTTAGCCTGAAATGCTGATGAAATGATTGACTATCCAAAGGGCACCTTCCAAAATGAATAAGATCATATTAATAATTACTTAAAATAAGAATACGATGAATGCTGATAAAATTGACGCTAAAAGTGGATTAATTGAATGATGCATGTCAATAGTAACTATCAATAAATGTGATAATTGAATAAGTCCAGATGTGTAACTTGAAAATAAATGTGCCTACAGATGTTGGGATGAGTCAGCAAAAGTGTCAGGCACATCAAGTGCTATCAGTGCTGACTTGAGATTTTAGGGGTTATTTGAGGGTTGACTGAAACAACCGCGATTTCAGGTTTCTTTACTATTTTTAATTGTCTTCGGAGCAGCCAAATGGTTGAACTGTCCGTAAAAGAAGTCAAAAATTGTCAATATAAATACTATTGACCCAAACCGATTGTTAAGTTAAAATTAGTTGATCTAGTTGATGATGCAGATGGCAGGTCAGTTGAATGTGGATCAGTTTTACCTTTTCCGGCCATCTCCTTGTGATTTATGTAAATTTAGCAAACTGTGTTGTTTTTTGGTATTTCAAATAGTCCAGATTGATTGGCATTAATTGGTTTCAAGTTTGTCAATGAACAACTTGTCAATGAAGAACTCCTATCAGAAATTTGATTGTAATCAATTGTTTCACAGAACTCAAGAGTAAAACAATTAGGATCTGTACTGCATTTGGAAGCACAGTGTTCTATTAATAGTAATAAACGGTCAAAGGTTGCGGGTCTCACTAAAAAACCAAAATGTACTAAAACAATGTAATGGACTATGGACAAAAAATTTTCCTTCAATTTTTGATTTGAGATTTAGAGAGCTTGTAGGGACATAAAAACTGAGTCCATTAATGTTATTAAAAAATTTTTGCGACCGATAGTTTTCGAGAAAATCGAGATTAAAGTTAATTACCTCAATCGCCTTTTGTACACTTATTGAACCAGATTTTTTCATCAAAATCATTTTTATGATGTGGCATTCGATGCTTGACCAGAAAAATGTGCTTATTTCTCGAAATAAAATTTTCTATTTTTTACAACAGATCACTTCGATTTTCGGTTAAACCGACTACTTTCTGTGACCGTAAAAGTAAGAGAGCTGAAACTCATTTTTCAAAACTCATTGGTAAATATGATTCTGATGAAAAAATCTGGTTTACGCCTAAGATTATTGGTTCGATTACTTTTTATCAAATCTTATCGACACAACGAATCATTACTCATTGTTAATTGCGACTCTAACTCATATTTACCATATGTACTAATACAACCTTAAAAACATATCTTATCATATTACATCCTTTACAGTTTAAGTACAAAAATGAAACAAAATGTATTGTTTGTAATATCAGTACATTTGGTAAATATGTGATTAGAATCGCAATTAACAATCTGAGTTATGAATCATTAGTAATAATTCATTACTAATGATTCGTTGTGTCGATAAGATTTGATAAAAAGTAATCGAACCAATAATCTTAGGCGTTAATGTTATTTTCAAATGTTATTCAATCAAACTAAAAGATGATTCCGTTTTACATTCGCGCAATTTTCAAATCAACAATTTCATTTGAATTTTTGCAGTTAGTTTTTTTTAATTAAGGGGCAGTTCGGTTTAGGATTGCTTGTACTATCGAAGCGAACACAGTGGATCAACAAATGATTTGCGAATGGCATTCCTGGCAGCTGATGAGATTGTACATTGCTTAAGCATGTGTTTCAGGTAGTAATTAATTGATCTGCCTTAAGAAAATAATTTTTAACTATTCAATATCAATATTGATGTTTGACATATGAAAATTTCAAGATTGGCCAAATGATAATAAATGCTCATTAGTTACATTTGACATGACCTGCTCTCGAATTGGACAAACAATTGAATACAATTAAACAATTTGTGTTTTTAGAGAGAGAGAGAGAGAGAGAGAGAGAGAGAGAGAGAGAGAGAGAGATTTGAGTATGGCCGAAAACTGGGCACCATCGCTGAATCAATGAGTTTTATTGTGTGGAAATAAATCATTAAAAAGCATGATTAACTATCTTCTGGATTTGTTTCCAAAAGTAAATCATCTTTCCATTATGAGGTTCCACCAAGACCGACAAGCGAAATTATCTTCACTTCGGAGAGACTTATAAGCCAATATTTTTAATTCTGGTCAAGACAGTAGATTTGATCGACAATATTTCACTTGAAAGAACTTTGAATAAATAGAAAAGCAAATAATCAAGATCACCTTTCTACAGGTAGATAAATGTAGAACACCAAAAGTAACATTTATTGGAATAAATCATTATTCATTCAACAGATGGCAATAGTTGGCCATAAAAAATGCAATTGACTTCAGGTTCGTTCAGTTTAGCAATTAAATTGAATTTAAAACAAATTTTTATTGTATTCGTATTTTGACTTGACATTTGAGTATTTTGAACATTCGTAGACTTCATCGACTGCGCTCAATAAACCAAAGCTTGAGAGTTGACCCTGCCTGATGTTATCAACTTGGCAACCCGATATTTTTCAGAAGCAACATCTTCGACTCCATCTTGGGATTGAGGTGAAGATGATAAAGTTTGGTCATTGAATCATACCAATAGTGAAAACGATGTAAATTATTGTCATATAAGATTAAAATTAAGATTGAAGCTGATTGTTCATCACATTGAGAATTTGATTCTTTAAATGTGGATTAAATTTTAGTACAAATGTATAATCATGATGCTGCAAAAATATTGGAAAAATATACATGTTGGTATTCAAAGTACTTTATTACGAGCAAGCTGTTCAATGAGCGAAATAACTTTATCTTTTAAATCAGATTTTTTCAGCTCGAGCATTTTTACACGAGCAACATTAGAATGAATCTCTTTATCATTGAGCACATCTTCAATGGCTTTCAATAACATCTCATCACTAAATTCATGCAAGTTTATTCTCACTCCTAAATTGAGATCAGCTATTCGTTGAGCATTATCAAGCTGATCACCAAATTGAGGAATGACTATCAATGGTTTACCGGCAGCTAAGCTTTCAATAAACGAATTTGTTCCTCCATGAGTGATAAATAAATCAACTCTGGGTAAAGAGCAACTTGGTTGATATATTTGTCTCCCCACATGTTATCATGGAGCTTGATTGAGTCACCATTAATATCAGTTGAAACGATGAAACGATGGGGTGAGTTGGTCAACAAAATCCAGAATCTGTGATACTACTGGGAAAACTGTTTTACTGATTAAAGGGCCATCAAAACCTTGTATTTTAACTAAATTCAAAGTATTGTCGGGTAATGTGAAACTCGGTGTTTCTGGTGAGCGAATAGATGAATCAAGACAACCCACTTTTCTTTTGGTGGACCCAATTCATGATAATCAAATGGACCAGGATAAATGTAGATTCCCACATGTTCAGCATAAGTGTGTGATTTGTATTCAGCGCCAAACAATTTGAATAATTCCATCGCTTTCTCCACGACTTTCTCTTCTTCCTTCAACTTGCGGTATTCAGACCAAAGCTGAGGTGGATCATGTACTGAATACCCTGATTCAAGTGGTGGACTATTATAAAGATCGAGTGGTGATGACGACATAATAAGAAACAACTGGGCATGAAGCTTTGGCCATCCAAGGCATAAACCATAGATAATCAGCTAAACAGATGTCGGGCTTCATCTCCTCCAAGATATTAAGCATTGCACAGTTTTCACCTTTGGCGACTTCAAATAAGAAGTTCGATGAATCCTTATCGCTCGAGTCTGGTTTCATAGACTCTTTCAAAGCTTCCAAACTAGAAAGTCTTCGAGTCATATCAAAACGGGGCGCAAATATTTAAGAAAGATTGGACGGTAGACCATTTATTAAGGAATAATTTTTATCATTGTATTCACGAAATGAGATGTAGTGGAATCCATATTTTTCAATAGTTTCTTTGTATGCATCATTGAAGGCGAAGTAAACTTGATGACCGCGTTTAATAAGTGAACCGATTCCAATGCAGGCATTTAAATGACCAAAGCTTACAATTACAGAAACAAGTCAATAAATGAACAAATTAATCAAAGGTTTAACATTGACTTACCCATTCATTGCTGTCATCAAAACTTTCAAAGAACTTTTTCTTCCATTGCCGTTAGATTTTCATACGAATGTGACTTAGTCAAGCAAAGCCTGGGTCAAATAGCCGATATTTTTACAATATTGTTTGTTATATGTGTTTACAGTGAACTTGCATATTACTTTGATCAAATTGCGTGCGAAAGAAGTCATGTAAAGATTTAAGATTAAACAAATCAAATTGCTAATCGTATTGCAATGATAACAGGAATTACATGAAATTCAAGGTTTTTTAGTACAAATGGCAAAATGAAATAAAATGTAAACAATATTACAAAATCAGTCCAAAGTCGCATGATAAAACCTATTTGGATGAACACTTCTTAGTCGAAATTATCAATAGAGTCCAAGTATCATATTATAATTGGATTATAATTGTTTTTTGGTAACTTTTATGATAAAGCAAACGTAGTTCATCGTAAGTAAAGCTTTAGGTTTGATAACGAAAATAAGGTGGACTAAATATTACTAAATGATTTGACACAAGCATCTTTTTGAGCAAAGATTTCGGGAACAAAGATATCACGGATATATGTCACACAAACGTATCTGGTGGTAAGAGGGTTTCTATTGACTTTCGTTTGCTGAATTTCCAATCATTTTGGTAGTTGACTTTGGATCAGCCAAATGGTTGAACTGTGCGTGAAAAAAGTCAATTAATTGGCCAATAACTGTAGCTCTTATCTAGCCAAAAAAGCGGCCATAGCATTTGCATTCGATGGCTATCAGAACTTTGATGCTTTTCCATCGATATCAAACTCAATAGGGTACATTTCGTTTTGCATGATGAGGTGTTCAATAATACAATATTCAATACTTTACTTTTTCAGTTCCATTGAAATCAAAGTAATCAGCCTTTTCCAGAGCAGTTAACTGTTCGTCCAATAATTCAAGCGTCTTTTCAGCCAAACCAAACACCTCAACTTTAGATTGATCCAAATTTTTTAGAGAAGTTTTAATTTTGGAAATCATTTCTGCATTTTCAGTATTCTTGAATGTAGGAATGACACTAATGAAACTTCGATGCTTTTTTCGATATCGGCCAAGCATGTTTGAATCATTTATTTCATTGATCAAATTATGACTTGTTTTTCGGCTGATCTTCCAAAAGAGAAACTCTTTCAAGAGAAACAGCAACTTTAACTACACCGTAGGAATTAAACTCACAAGGGAGGTTTACGATCTGAGCAATCAATATTGAGGATTCATTGGTAGTCAACGGTACATTAGACCTTCTCAAAGAGAACCAGATTTTTCACCCAACTCTTTACTCGTTACTCGAAAAACAAAGTTTTGCATAAAATTCTGGTCTAACAATGAACCATCAACCTGAATAACAAAAAAATTTACTACTTAATTGCTGTTCAATTTCTTTACATTAATATCATTGAATTTTGACGCATTTTCGTTTTGAACGGATTTTCGTTTGAAAGCTGAATATCTAAGCTTATCATTTCATAACTTTTTTAATGCTCAATGCAAAAATATTAGTTTGCAATTAGGGTATCAATCAATTTTATTCAATAGTTCTTTCACCAAATCCATATTTTGATTAAAAGAAAGCCCCAACATGATCTATTGATCTCTTTTTAGAATCTGAAATATGTTCAAATAAACGACTAATTTGACCCAAGTTCAGCCGAACAACTTTCGACTAATCTAATCAATTTTATATTGCACTTGAGGATTTATCAAAGGAGGCTAATGACTTGTTAAATAGATTAGACTTGATATTAGATTTTATTATGTGCTGTAAAATTATGTGACTGAATACCTAGAAAAATCTGAGCTAATCCATCTAATAATGAATAAGATCACATCGTCAAAATTACAGCATTATAAGCAAGTATTATTTATCAAAGAATGATGATTGTAGGTGCAATTATTATCGAAATATTAAAGTTCAAAGTTGAAGACCAATGGCCAAAATGAAGAGAAATTTTGATAAATCAAGTGTTCGGTCGATGAAGTGTACTAACAATTTTCATCAAAATATGATACATTTCAGCGAATACATTCACAGAAAAATTGAAATCTCGAAAAAATGCTGATCTAAGAAATCTTCAATAGCAACAATCGACTAGCTTTTCGTTAATTTGTTGTCTATAATTATGCATCATATCGTATATTTTTCAAAGAAAAACTTTTTTTCGAAAATGAACCAATTTCGTTCGTTGTAAATAAGTCACGAAAAATAGACAACCCAAAATAGCAAGCAAATCAAAGGGGCTTCATTTTCTTGCATTTTTCAGAATTTAAGTTCATCATGAACTATTAACTGCTAAGATTTATCCGAGTAGGCATAAGCAATTTTGATTGTCAACCTTTCCATGTTCAACAGGTTTTCAAGTGACTATCACCATGGCCATAAGATTTTATAATCTAGTTTGATTTAATAAGGACATGATTATTTTGATATTTCAGTTCCTAATAAGGTTTCACTGATTACTGTTTATGTCAGTATGTGTTTACGGTTACAGCAAAGCAAGCAACAGGATAAGTTTTTTGCACTTATTTATGATTAATTTATTCAATCTTGATTTTGACTACAGCAACCTCTGTCTATTGAAATGTAGAAGTATGAAAATAATTTGATGTTGATTACATTTACTGATATATCAATTATGAGGAAAAATAAAATTGACTTTATCAAAGTCCTCAAAGACCTTGATTTAGTTTGACTAATCGCAGATAAAGATTTATATTACCTTTTAGAGTCAATTTTGCACGCTTTCGTATTCAAACACCTTTTGGTCTCTTCAAAGTTACAATAAATTTTACCGAAATCAACCAATTTTCAATTCAAAACAAAACTTCTCATTGCATTAATATAAATAAAACTCTTGTTCAATGCTTCATTACAAATGTAAACATCAACTTTACCATTTTCATCTTTCAACTAACACTGTTTTCAACTTGTCTCTTCATAATCATTTACAATTCAAGTCTTCAACCATTGATCATTCCGTTTATCGACATTAACTTCATTTAATATAAATATGGTCTTAACTGCCAAGGAATTGTTAAAGTTGGTTAAACTTTTGAAAATTGATGTTTTCTTCATGTTGGCTGTTTTTTCCTTTTTCATGCCATTGGTCACTGTTAATCAACTTTCCCAAGATAAATATTGTATAAATAACTATTCGGTTAATGAATCGATTTGCTTGGAATTGGAGAAACATGCCAGTGATTCCTACACACCAATCCGTAATATTGTCTTGGAAAAGGCAACAACCCTGAAAATGTATTCGACTATCATAATTACAGTGCCTGGTGTAGTTTTTTCCCTTTTCCTTGGTACTTGGGTCGATACCTATCCAGGTCACACTAGATATATTCTGACACTTGGTCCAATCTGCGTGATACTTCAAAATTTCATCTTAATTCATCAGTGTTTAGCTTTTGACATAAGTAAGACTCTAAACTTTTTCTTGCTCACAGTGTTTCCCGCGCTATTCTCATAATGTAAATGTTCATTTTAAAATTTTCACATATTTCATTTGCATTTTTTCATCCAAACAATCAATGCATCATCAGTAGTAAACCTCATTGATGAGAAAATTTAAAGTCTACCTTAAAGAGAAACTTACTGAAAAATGTTTTTGCTCAACTTTGAATATTACAAGCTTACTAATTACCATTTTATTTCATCACAGAACCAGTGGCACTTTTATACGCAAATATACCAGTTGCATTGAGTGGTGCTTTGGCTGTCCTCATGACTGGAGTTTATACGTATACCACAAGGAAAACACAACCAAAATATCGAGCAATTAGATTTGCAATTTTAGAGCTTTTTTTCTCTTTTTGTGAGTTCAATTTCCAGAAACTTAGATTGATCAATTTTCATGATTCAATTGGTGTCTCAATTGGTGTATTTAAATTTTGCATCAATTTTTGTTTTAAAAATCAATAATATGAAAAACAGAGATGTGTTGAAAACAAATCCAATTTCATATCAAAGTGAGTTCTAATATTCATATTCATTCTCTTTTTTGTAGCAATTCCTTTATCAACAACTATTGGTGGATCTGTGCTTGCAATGAAACCTTGGTTTCCTAGTCAACATCGTAATTACATTGGCGTTTTCATCATTTCCATAATAAGTTCAGCGGTTGCAGCTCTTTGGGTGGCAATTTTTCTCAATGATGCTGAAAGTTCAAAAGAAAAACTAGATAATATCGATACATCTAAAGGCGAACATGATCAAGTTGGCAAACCTCACAACCCTGAAAATGTACCAAAGAATACAAATATCATTTTAGAGATCATCAATATTCGTAATGTTGCCAATACACTGAACACAGCTTTCAAAAAGCGCGACCACAATGGAAGGTTCTTTTTACTGTTCACAATGGTTAGCATGGCTGTTTGTCTGATTGGTTACATGGGTGAAAATGCAATCGGTTTTCAGTTTGCTCAACGAGTTTATCACTGGAATGCTGAATATTATTCATACATGTCAGGAACCATCATTTTGATTCCAGCACTAGTGACAACAATCACTCCTCCAATTTTAATTCACAAGTTTCATTTACATGATACTGCCATAGGAATAATTGGAAGTGTTTCAATTGTTGTTTACATGTTTGTTCGTGGACTGGTTCTCAATTCAGCTGGATTCTTCATCAGTACTGTTCTTGGTTCCTTGATGGGCTTATTACCAATCTGTAATCGAGCTGTTGTAGCTAGGATCATAAAATACAATGAAATCGGCCAAATATATGCATTCTTGTCATGCATTGAATCAACTGGACCTTTGATATCATCCTTGTTTTTTTCAGAGTTGTTCAATGCTACAATTGATGATGCTCCTGGTTTTGTTTATATTGCTGCCGGATTTGTTGTATCATTTACTTTGGTCCACATGGTTTGGCTTTATTTTACTAGAAAGACTTGGGATTTAGTTGTATTGGGTCAAATGTCTCCATCAGATGTTCCAACTTCTTCAAATGTTACTCAGAGAATAGCATCTGAATTAGCTGTTGATCAGAAAAATATTGATATTAATCCAGCTCAGATAGAAAGGCAAAATGTCTGTGATATTAATGAACAGTCTGAAGAAATTGTAACTCGTGAGGTTTGAATAATGTTTGAAAGTCAATGAGAATCGATGAATTTTACTCTAAATTGATGTAAATCCAAGCTTACCCCTTTCATCAAGTCTGTGAAGGAAAAGTTTGATAACTGGAATTATTGTTGAAGCTCATTCAGATGAACATTTCAACTACTTTATTTTGACAAAATACATTTGTATATAACAACTTTGAACAATTTTATATTCATGTCACCGTTTTTATGTTTTTCAAGTTGTGCTCAGGTAAATTGACTTTTACGATATTAGGTTTTGATCAGCCCTTCTTTTCAACGGGTTTCAGTTTCAAATATTTTATTTTTTATTTTTAATACTCAACTCACCCATTTTTTGCAATTAAAGTATTAATATCAATCCAGTTTAATTTAATGGCGGATCTTTCACCGAAATGAATTTATATTAATAAATCACTTTTAGGTCGGACTTTATTTATTAAATATTTATGATGTAAATATTTTAGATAGTCTTGTTTGTTATTCACAAGTTTTATTGAGACAGTATTGAAATAAAATCTTTTCAGTTATTTTGTTTCAATTTTTGATTAGTTTACATAATACTTATAAAGCATCATTTGTCCAAGTTTGATCTAGATATCGATAACTTGCTATCAGGTCCAACATCTTCAGTCTCACTGGCATCAGCATCAGCAAAGGTGATGCTAACTTCAGACACGGATTTTGATTTGGTGTTTTCACTGAGTTTAGATTTGTTCTTTTTCCCCTTTGATTCAGAATAAGATTTCATTGAATCCTTGAGTCCACAGCATGTTGAAGCAACACAACTTAAATTTCGAGAGCAGTTTAAAATACAGCCGTCTTTGAAGTTTGAGTTCTGTTCAAAAAAGAAAAAATAGAGAATTAAGAAAAGAATAATAAAAACATTGAAAACTGAAATGAAATCTTATTTGTAAAAGAAGTTTTCATCAAAAATTCCAAGTCAATGTGTGCATTCATGGATAGGAATATTTCCTTGATAGTCTCGATTTATGGACACTAAGCTCCTTGAACTGATTTAAAACTAAATTTCACATTATCATGATAACTCGAGGTCAACTAAAACAACAAATGACATTTTACTATCAAAGATTGAATTAATTTAAATATATCAAAGCAATTCATAAATTTGAATTTTTTGATGAATAACTCTGAGCTGAATTATTTACAACAATCTGGATGTAACTTGACCGCGTAAATGGAATTCCGATGATTTCTGTTCTGTAGATCCTCTGTCCTCTGGAATGTTATCCCAGTAAGTTCAAATTAAAGCCAACAAGGTTCTTACCTCTAATTTAAGGTCCACAAATTCAGGTTGAATTGTTGTTGAATGAATTCCCTTGTTATGGAAAAACTCTTTCACCTTTTCAGCTATTCTCATGTAATCCTGTAAATTTTGAACTTGAATATGAGCTGAAGCTATTATGCGATCACCAGTCAATTGCCAAACATGAAATTCGTGGACAGCCAAAACACCTTTGATCTTGAAGGAGAAAAGATAGAAAGATGAAATAAACAAATCTATTAATAAAATGCTAAATGGCCAAAATTAAGGTCAGAATTGAAGTGATTAGTTTTTGAAAATACCTCTTTAGTCAGGGTTTCCCGTAGATCCTCAACTTCAATGTGTGTTGGTACTGTTTGAAGTAAAATCATTGCTGATTCGCTCAGTAATGGCCAAGTACTGTACATGATTAAGGTAACCATCAATATAGAAAGAGTTGGATCAACATAATCAACGATTGACCAATCAGTAAACATGATGATTAATGCGGAAATGCAAACGATTACAGAACCTAGAGCATCGGCCAAAATGTGTAGAAAAACGCCTCGAATATTCATCTGGTCACTTGATTGTGGAACCTGTTTAGTTGGTTCATCTGTGAATAGACAATAAATCAATTTAATGTTAATGTCAGCTGACAATTTACACAAAAATATGGATACTTACCCTTCTTAAGGCCGTTTTCACCTCCTTCAGTTTCATCATAGTCTTTATGATTTTTATTATGAGAGTGACCACCAGCACCTAGAATTTTAACGTAGAAATTGTTATTAAATGAAGAAAAATTTGATTAAATTAAAAAGATGAAATTTTCATCCAATGAAATATGAAACTTGCAGCAAACAAAAGCTACTCTAAATTACCCGGTTAAAGCCATTCTGTCACATTATCAGTCTCCATCTAGTGCAATTTAGTCTCAATCAAATGACTTTCAGAAAGGGGTAACGCTTGAGATTTACATGTAGATAATGTAAGGATTTAACAAATAAAATATGACGAGTCGTCATTGACGACTGTAAAAATTGGTTTGAATCTTATGCTATCGTCTATTTTGTCATATTTGAAACCTTGATCATGTTTTTTAACATTGATTGATTGTTTTTGGTTTCATTGAAATGATGTCGAGGTTACACTGTCATACATTAATTATGGATGAGTTCAGTGATTGGATTGTAAAATAGATTTACAATTGTCGTTGTCAGGTGAAACTGAAAGTTATTATCTTTCAAGCAAGCCCTTAATGGGTAAACTTAACTTACCATGGAAAAGGATTAAACCAATTATATTAACAATCAAACCAGCTACTCCAACGCCTAAAAGTAGACTAGGTGCGTGAAGCTCTTCTGGATTGTAGAAACGTTTGATCGATTCGACAAAAATTGAAAAGCAAAGGGCAATCAAGAAGACAGCATTGACCAAAGCTCCTAAAACTTCTGCTCGAGCCCAGCCAAAAGTGTTTTTGACCCACTCTTTGGGTGACATTAACACTGAGACATAGGCAATAATCAAAGCAATCACATCGGATAACATGTGAAAGGAATCGGCGACCAAAGCCATAGAATTAGTAATATATCCAACAATTAATTCTACAAAGAAGAATGTGACCGTTAAAATTAACATGAAAAGCAGTCTCATCCGAGCTCCTTTATTGTCAGCTGTCATATTGATCTATGGTCAAAAAAATTAAACAGTTCAACACAAGTATTATTCACATCCAGATTATCACTGAATTATTATGTAGCTTGAAGTCGAACTTTGATGACAAACTTTGAAAGGCAATGTCCTAAGAGTCGAAAGAATCAGCAGCAAACACTTTATCAACACATTAGAGATCCAAATGATAGAGAGAAATTACTGAATAGTTGAACATAGTACATTGAAATTTCCAGTGGCAAATTGATCATGTTTCACTTGAAAGAACTTTGAATAAATAGAAAAGCAAATAATCAAGATCACCTTTCTACAGGTAGATAAATGTAGAACAGCAAAAGTAACATTTATTGGAAAAACAGTTAAATAAATCATTATTCATTCAACAGATGGCAATAGTTGACCATAAAAATACACGTATGAAATTTTTCTTCGGGTTTTTTCAGTTTAGCAATTAAAATGAATTTAAAACAAATTTTATAGTATTCGTATTTTGACTTCGAGATTTGAGTATTTATACATTCGTAAATTTCATCAGATTATTTGGATTTAAATTTCTTTGGTGTTTTGACTAAAATAAAGCGAAGCTTTTCGGTAAATATCCTCAACCTAACCATTTTTAAGGCAAGTTGAAACATAAACCCAAATAAACCCAAATCTAATGTTTATTATTATGTTAGTGGCGATCATATTCAAAGTGGATTGAAATCAATTAGGGATAAAATTCCTACAGAAATGAATGATTAGTAATTTAATAGGTTTTTCAACAATAACCACTAATCCAATTATTTTAATTAACAATTAGTAAAAAACAAAAAACGTTAACGATGTTTATAAACAATCTGTTTATATCTCATGAAGTTACTTGTATAGATTGAAACCCAAAAAAACAGGGATATTAATCACTTCGTTGGTCGGAAGTAAAGAGCAATTAAATTAATCTAATTATGATTCAATTCTTGGCTGAATCGCACTCCATACAAGTATCATAGCCATGTTTACTCAATCTTTTTAATTTTAGTCATCAAACTTACATATTATATTTTCACTTTAAATTGGCACAAAAATGAAACTGATCGAGACCACGGAAATCATGATTGAGTGATTCCAGTCCCATTATAACCTGAAATTGATTTCACACATAAGTTAATTTTTGATAAGCGCCGTATACTATATTACCAATGGGCTAATCAAGGATCTTATGTATAGTAGATGGCGTTTATCAAAAATTAAATCTGTGAATCTAGTGTATTTCACATTTTTGCTGCTATGGACCGCCCTAATATGTGAGATCTAAAGGAATCTAAGCGCGCTGATTGGATGTGAGAGATTTCGCACGTTGAGTGATATTTGAAGTTGTTAATTTTAAGTTCAAGAAAGCTAATACATATATTGATACAAATCAGTATAGTTTTTAATATTGATATTATTACTGTTGAACAGTTTGTCATTGTAAGTAAAATGAGTATCTTTAAATCATTTGTTTGTAAAACCACAATTGGATTGGTGTTGATGGCAATCATTTTAGGTAAGCATTTCAGTTAACCAAAGACTTTTGCTAAGATCTTATGATTTGTTTCTGGTTGTCTTTTCTAGGATTCCCAGCAACTCAATCTGCACCATTGGAAGAGGCCAAGTTGTTGCGACAAATAGCTGATCAATATAGTGCTCCATTGGTTGTGTCATTCCTACATTCAAGAATACTGAAAAATGCAGAAATGATTTCCAAAATTAAAAGCTCTCTAAAAAATTTGGATCAATCTAAAGTTGAGGTATTTGGTTTGGCTGAAAAGACGCTTGAGTTATTGGATGAACAGTTGACCGCTTTGGAAAAAGCTGATTACTTTGATTTCAATGGAACTGAAAAAGTGAAGTATTTTATTGAACAATTCATCATGCAAAATGAAATGTATCCGATTGAGTTTGGTTCTAGTGGAGCAGTTGAGGTTGCTGTTACTCCTGATGCTCTTTTGGAAGATTTGCGCAAAAAGACAAGCACTAATTTGATCAATGAAACAAATAGTATGATTCAAACATATTTGACTGATATCGATAAAAAGCAGCAAAGTCCTGATAGCAGTCGAATGCAAAAACTGTCCGCTTTTCTGGCTAGACAAGAGCTGCAGCAATTGGCCAATTACTCGTATCCACCAGTTGATGATAATTACCATTACACTGATCTTACCGCTCCTCGTAAAGTTGCACTTGGTACAGTATTGAGAAAAGTAAAGACAGTTGTTGGCTTCTTTTATGCTCAGTTTAACAATTTGGCTGATCCAAAGTCAAGTAAAAAAACAAGTGAAGTATCTGCTAGCCAAAAACCTGCAATCGCGGTGGTTAGAGAAAAGATTCCAATACCCTTGCCTCCCCGTGGTCGCGGATCCGTTGATATGAGTGCTTCAGACTATGAAGATAGTGATTAATTTTTTTATGTAACACTTTCTCCATATCTGTGAACATCTTGCGTTGCAATATCTGTTGTTATTCAATTCTTTGATTTATTAATCTTTAATTACTTAACAGATATTTTTAGCAAGTATCACTAATAAACTTGAAGTTTCGATTTTATCAGCATTTATCGTATTCTTATTTTTACAATCTTAGCATTTTGGAAGGTTTCAGAGCATTCCAGGCTCCACCAGCTGATGATAATTACTATGGCACTGATCTTACCGATCCTCGTAAAGTTGCACTTGGTACAGTGCTAAGAAAAGCAAAGATAGTTGTTGGCTTCTTTTATGCTCACAGATAGTTGTCAGTTTAACAATTTGGCTGATCTAAAGTCAAGTAAAAAAACAAGTGAAGTATCTGCTAGCCAAAAACCTGAAATCGCGATGTTTACAGTCAAGCCTCAAATAACCTCAAGTGTCTCAAGTGTTCAATATTTTGATCCCGAAGATTATAACTAAGGCGATAAAAATAGTGGTTAATTTTTGGTGTAACACTTTCTATGCATCTGTGAACATCTTCAGTTTCAAGCTGTAAAATCTGGAGATACATGTATTCACTTATTTGATTTATCAATCATTACTTAAAATACGTTACAGATACTCGCAACATGTAACATAATAATCATTCAAATGATAAACTTGAAGTGTCGATTTTAACAAGATTGGTCGTATTCTTATTTTTATCGTAATTACAATCTTATAGCATTTCGGAAGGTGTACTTTGGATAGTATATCATTTGATCAGCATTCATAGCTAAGCTGTGTAAAGCAATTGAATATTTACAAATCACTTTTGATTTCAATAAAAATAATGATTTTTGAGAGTAAAGTTATGCTTAAAAAAATAATATACTAGTATTAATAATAACATTTGCTTATACTACTTATTGTTATCATACATTGCTTTTGAGATTCCCTGGTTGTCTGTCCAGTTAATGGTCGTCGTAAAGCAGCAATTGGCAAAGAGTTAAGAAAGGTAAAGACAATTGTTGACTTCTCAAATTTCCTCCACTTGTCTAACCTAAAGTCAAGTAAAAAACGAGTGAAAATTCAACCCCGAAAAACAGTAATTCAAAGCACCACAACCGAAGTCATTGAAGTAAGTAGAAATTCGAAGATTTCAATCCGGATGATAGAGTATAAACCATTGTTTATCGATAGCCTGGAAAATAAATCAAGATCTTTAAGAGATCTAATTTTCCAACTTTTGCATAACTTTCGTCAGGTTTTTGTCTACTTTTTCATAACATTGTCCTATGATATCTTTGTTACCGAAATCTTTGCTCAAAAGTTAATTACCTGATTATTCATCCAGTAATTGTATTCTGTTTTGCTTCTATAAAATATCTTCAATATCGTTGATCACTAGCAGTCCATTTTTCTGATGGTCTTAATAAAATATGTGTTTATACAGTTGTTAATATCTCAAATGATTTCAGATGTAGATTGAAATCAATTAGAAAATTTAACTCCTACAGAAATGCATGATTAGTAATTGAATAGGTTTTTCAACAATAATCATTAACTCAATTATTTCAATTAATAACAATATTAATCACTTTGTTGGTCAGAAATAAAGAGTCAATAACAAATAATGATGATCCAATTCTTGGTAAAATCTTATTTGATATCATATTCAGCATAATAAGAGCATCATATTCATATTTACTCAAAAAACATCATTAAGCACTAGATATGTTTAATACAAATGTGTTTATCCCCAATAGTGAGCATCTGAATTTTCCCTATTTAAAGACAAAGCTGAACCTTCAATTTCATAACTAATCAAACCTTACTTACAATTGTTAACATCAAATTGTGAATTTTTCAATCAGTTTCAACTTCACCAAAAACAAACTTCTAAAAGATGAATCCTGGAAATCGCGTTAACCAGTGCAACCCAAACAACTTTGAAACCGGGCCTGGACGCAATGCAGGTAATATAATTTAATTATATTTAAATTTTAGTTATCAAACTAACGTTCATTATATTTTCAGCTTATTCTGGCAAGGGGGATAAACCAGATAAAGATAACCACGCTAATCAGTTGAACCCAAACAACTCTCAATTTGGTGGTGGTAACACTAAAAAGTGACCAGCAATTGCTATCAAGATCAATCAAAGGCTAATCTTTAATCAATATTGGTTAACCTGTATCTTCGATAAAATATGAAATCATTAAAATAAGTTTTTAAATTCAATAAATGCGTGTTTTAATTCCTGAGTTTCCTTCGCGATAATTCAAGAAACCAAATCAATGAATAAACCATTTCTTGATTGCATGGTGAATCATAAAAGATTTAAAAGACGAAAAGTGCTAGTTAATGGCCATAAAGTGTTTGTATTCATTTAAATTTTACTTTTAATCAACAATCAACCATCAATAATCCTATCCATTGCCCATTTGATAAATAAGTGAAATCTGGTTCAATGTCATGTTTAGCTCAATCATTTTACGTTCTGTTTATTAATTTTCATTTTTCAACGATTTTAGGAAGTGATGTTTCATGGAATCAAACAAAAGTGTTAATGTGCATAAAAATGTATCTAATCGTTTCAATTGTCTTCCATCAACAGACCAAAGCTTAAAGATTAAGGATCATCCAAGTACAAGAAGCTTCCTCTTTTTTGTGGTTACAAATCAAGTTAAGTTGAAATATTAAAACTAATGAAACCATTGAGCTTACCCAAAAAATTGTGTCAAATTTCCTGAAGGAGTTTAGTTTACAATGTTTTCCGTCTAAACTCACTAAATTATTTTACTTTATCAAATCACAATCAATTTGACTTACACTCTTGTTGACAACACAAACCTCACTCAATATGATGTAAATCAGCTTCTTAACTTTTAGCTGTATATTTTATCGTGAAACTTGAAAGGTTTACATTTGCTTTGAAGATTGTCCATGTTGACCAAGTCAAAACCAGGATTATAACCCAAGTCTTTAAATTTGTTCCTCATTCCTCATCATGGTGATACTTTGATCTCTTCTGAAACGAAATGATTCTCGCTCCTATTTTAGTGTTTCTCATCACATTTATTCCCATTGTTTTCAACCCTTTACATGCCAAACAAAATAAAGGTGGAGGCAAACCAGTGATTATCATGAT